CTCTAACAAAATAGATGATGCCATCACTCATGGTCTGGAACAACTAGTCGAACTACCAACCCGCATTCCAGATGTCAACAACCAGTCTGCCAATACACTAGATCTTTTTCTCACCAGCAATCCTGATCCATATAGAATAGAAGTTTGTACCCCACTTGGAAACTCTGACCACACCCTCATCTCCACAACCTGCTCTTTCCATGTACCACCCAGCACCACAATTCCTACCCGTCTCATGTGGCATTACAATTTGGCTGACTGGAAAGGTCTTCGTATGTTTTTTTCACCGTTTCCATGGAATAGAGTTTGTTTCTCCTCATAAGATCCAACACGATGTGCTTAGAGAATTTCTGAAATCATCATGTTGGGGATGCAAACCTATATACTATATACCGAACACTGCAAGGAGAACATCTTCCGATAAGGCCTGGTTCAGTAGAAACTGCTCCAGAGCTGTCGCTTCCAAACAGGCAGCATTCCATCGATGGCAGAAAAATCCAGGCCCTAAGACTAGAGCAGAATATGTCGAGACTAGAGGCATATGCAATGAGACAATTCGATCATCAAACGATGCTCATAATGCCAAAATAAGATCAAAACTTGTCAAATGTCCTAAAGGTTCCCGTTCATTTTGGTCCTTCGCCAAAGCTGTAGGAAGAAACTTCACTTCCAGCTCGTTTCCTTCTCTAACCAAGGAAGATGGTACACTAGCCACCACTGCCCAGGAGAATGCCAACATTTTCGCTGGAAATTCCACTCTGGATTAATCAACAACCTCCAAACATAACGCCAATTGATAGTTATATGCCCGAGATCACCTTTCGCCAACATACTATAAGGAAGATTTTATTGGGTCTCAACACCAACAAAGCTTGTGGCTCCGACGCAATCCCACCGATTGTTCTTAAGAAATGTGCTCCCGAACTAACAACTGTTCTCTGCAAGTTGTTCAACGACTCTTACAAATTGGGGATATTCCCGTCCAACTTGAAAATTGCAAGAGTACAACCAGTTCCTAAAAAAGACAGAAAGACCCTACCTAGCAACTATAGACCGATCGCACTGCTATCTATCATTTCGAAGAAAGCTATCAACATCGAGCTCATGAAATACCTGGAACATTCAGGTATTATCAACGATAGGCAATATGGCTTTCGTCATCAGAGATCAACTGGTGACTTGCTCGCTTACGTCTCACATATATGACAGCAATCTATTGAAAAATATGGTGAAACCCTAGCAGTGACACTTGATATCTCCAAGGCATTCGATCGAGTCTGGCACCACGGACTCCTCGCCAAGCTTCCATCTTATGGCTTGCCTCCCCAGCTATGTTCTCTGCTAGCTAGTTTTCTCTCAAACAGGTCTCTCCACGTAGTGGTCGACGGAGTTTCATCTGACTCTCTTATCATAAATGCTGGTGTTCCGCAAGGATCAATTATAGCACTAACACGATTTTTTAGAAGCAACTTCATGTCCAGTACACAGCTTCGCGGATGATAGTACCCTCCATACCGCTTTCTCTTCCAGGGCTCCAATACCAGACAGGCAAATCAGAAACGAACGAGGGAGAAATGTTGACAACATAAATATGGACTTGGCAACAATTTTAGAATGGGGATCCAATAAGGTAGATTTCAATGCAAACAAAACACAAGCATGCCTTTTCTCTAGGAAAGCCGATCCCACTGTGCCCAACATAAGCATATCAGGAGTAACCATACCTTTGAAGCAATAACCTTTCTTGAGAAAATCACGTGAGATCAATTGCTCAAAGTGCATCCCAAAAACTTGGCTTTTTTTTCGGGCCAGAAGCTATTTTACTTCCAGTCAGCTGCTTATGATCAATAAGGCAGAAATCCGACCTGTCCTGGAATACTGTTCCCATATTTGGAGTGCAGCACCCAAACATACCCTGAAACTGTTGGATTCTATCCAATGAAGAGCAATTCGTCTCGTGGGTGATGACTCGCTCACTAACTCACTCACTTCTCTGGAACACCGTAGACAAGTTGGCGATCTGGCCCTATTTTGTAGATATTTTCGTGGACGATGCTCTTCTGAAATATCAACAATTATTGTTATTCCATTGGCTCTGGAACACATTGCCAAGGGAGATGTTCCCCGAGGAATATAACCTTCATTTCCCTTGGTTCTCACGATGTTCTCTGAACATTACAGGATATCCCATTTCGTGGGAACCAGAACATAAAAAAAAATAACCTGATGAAGCTACTGTGTTAGCGAAACATGTCGTGTCATTGAGAATTTTGTGGAAATCTTATCGTTTGTGGAGTTTTTATATTCAAAGAAAGAAATATGAATTCATGAATTCATGACCATAATAGGAATTTCGAGTAAATATTATCAATACAAATTCAAAAATAGCATATTTCAACACATGCTTCAGAATTTCAGATACTTTCAATACCCTCTCATAGCCTTAGTTAGATAGTTAGTTATATAGATAGCATATGCTTATTCACTTGAGCGGGAATGGGAAAGATGAGTTTATGAAAGCATTTTATCATGTCATCTGACACATCTTAAGTATATAGGAAGTGTTAAATATGAGAGAACCTCGGAGAGAACAAATATGTAACATATGCTTCTATCGGTTTATGGCAATAATGCAATTAAGATTATGAACATATGAAGTCATATTCTTGGTATGTTCATGTCTTTTTTTAAACACGGTTATAAAAATAAATTGTGTTATTATCGTAAACAATTATGTTGTAATATATGAAATGCGATATCCGATGATTGTTAGTAATGATCAAGGAATCAACTGAGTACAAGTTTTTTTTAATCGATGAGAAAAACAGTGACAACAGGATGTTCAATTCCAGCTGTTATTTTTTCTTCCACTATATAACCTACCATTATTTATACTCCTTTTCGAGACGTATAAAGTGTGTTTTCACTACCTGCAACGGCGTTCGCGCGGCGAAATTTGAATTTCTTCTTTTGCTGACATTTCAAAATAAAGTAATATCTTCTCAATATTGATTCGTCCTTTCTTCTCTAACAGAAAAAATAGTGTATTATACACAGGAAAAATATTAGATTTTAGCTCACGGTTTTTTGTCTCCCTCCGCTACTCGTCGGGAGACAACACAACCTGGAGCTAAGATCTACTACTTTTTTCCCTTGTATAATAAATAACTATTTTTGTAAACATTGGGGCTGACCGACCAGCTCCCGCCACCACAGTCAGCTGACTGACTTTCATAACTTTCATTCATATGCAATATACAATGTGTATAATGATTTTCAGCCTCGGTAAATTCATTGCATTACCTCGGTAGGAACGACAACTTCGATAGTATACCAGGGACACCTGTTCTCAGTTTCGCTTGACTGACCGCAGTATGTTTGTGTCTAAAGTGTATCATCTTCAATGGAGAAATTGTTTTTATGTGTATGTAAGAAATTCACAAACGATAAGATTTCCACAAAATTCTCAAACACACGACATGTTTCGCTAACACAGTAGCTTCATCAGGTGATATACTAGTACAATGAACTAAACTAACGTTGGCTTGCTCAAGTTTTATATATCTTACTTTCCCAACCTGAAGGATAAGTTACCTGTGGACAGGTACGATAAACCTCCGTTTTCAGAAATTAGGCACAATATCTACATTAAAATACGGTATACCGGATTAACTTCAAAGAGTTGATAGTAAATACATATTATTACTTACTAAGAAAACAAATTCAACAGTGGTGAACTATTGAGGTCTAATTGATCATTAAGTAAAATGTCAAAATTTTTGAGTTTGTTGATTTCTAATGATTCAAAATAATTGAGTTTCAGACCTATATTTTCTACGTGCAGAATTTCGAAATTATCATCAAAACTATGGTTTTCTTCTAATATATGGTTGGCGTATGTTGGATTTGTTTTCTTTTTCATAAAATTCATCTTATGTTCATGAATGCGCTGATTAAACGTACGACCTGTCTGACCGATATATACCTTAGGACAAGATACACAGTTGAGTTTGTATACCCCTGATTTTTCGAATTTAGAAGTTTTATCTTTATTATTCTTGATAAACCGTCCCAACGTGTTGTTTGTTCTATATGCCACTTTTAAGTCCTGTTTATGTAGAAATGAAGTTAATTTCTCAGTTGAGTTCTATAATTTTGATTATTATTCTTGCTGATAGGATAAACTTCTTGAATAGCTTTGCCAAGTGTTTGGGATCACACGTTAAAAGGTAAGGCCCCCGTCATTCCTTGCTCGCACAAAACTTTCGAAGACTTTTGAGGGTTGCTCGTAAGGGGGCAACCGAATGACGGACAGAACAAATTTTAGAAACAAAATGATGAAGTTTTTGAGGAAGAATACTGTCTATCAAATTAACGTTGTATCCGTTGTTGACTGCAATCTGTTTTATGATATTGAGTTCTTCATTGAAATTTACTTCCGAAAGAGGGACATTCACTAGCCTGTGTATCATACTATTATATGCTGCAATTTTATGTTGATAAGGGTGTGTTGAATTATTATGAATAGTGATATCAGTGTGGGAAGGTTTATGGAAAATTGAAAAATCATCTTTATCGTTAATTTTACTCATTGTCAAATCTAAGAAATTGATTGCATTTTCAGTCTCAATTTCTATTGTGAATTTTATGTCGAATCAATGGATGAATAGTATTTATATATTGATGGAAAGTGTCGAATTGTCTATTGGTCCCTATAAAGCATACTATAACGTCATCTACGTATCTATACCAAAACAAACATTGTTTTATTAATGAATGTTTATGTATTATTCGCTCCAAGTTGTCCATGAAGATTTCAGCAAGTAAAGGGCTCAGTGGATTTCCCATAATCAACCCTTTTGACGCGGAATATATTTTGTTGTCAAATTGAAAGTAATTTTGTTTGAGACAAGTTTTTATGTGTGATGGTCGACTGACTTTTGAGCATTCATTTTCGTTGAAAGGACTCTGAGTCTCTATACAGTGATATATCCTCTCACCTTGCGGAATGGGGTGCAGAGTGACGGAGGTGCTCAGTCTGTCGCCGCCCATGCTGACCAGGTGCGGCGCGTCGGTGTGCAGTTTGAGGGCGCGCCCCCCCGACTCACTCACCTCCAGTGGCGTCGCGGTGCCCCCGCCTGCTAGACTCACCCCAGACATGTCTGAAAATTAGAATAGAATAGAACTTTATTCACGGTTATCCATTGCATACATTATAATCACAAATATTATTACAGGATGGAAAAAATATATAAATATATACCTATGTAAATATTAACCCTCAATTACTCGCGCTGGTGTATTTTGTACACCAGCGCCCAATTTCTTGCTACCATCGAACGTAGAATTTTTTTTGTGGCTCTAGACTCCCACCTAACCTATGTCTAACATGTCTGGAATGTGACGCGTTGTCACGTTGGTGCCCGTTGGTGCCTAGAATACAATACACTGCGTGGGAAATAGGGTAAATTATCTAAGTATTCAATAGCACTAAAAACAGAGTGACTTTTTTTTTTCCAATTGCATAATTGCATTTCCTACTTGGACCCAGCACTGGATCCAACGCCCCATAAGTCGAAACTTGTGCGGGGTTAGGAAAGCATACGTTTTTGTTTCACCTAAAAACAAGTCAAATTCATGGTGGTGTACAAAAAACAACGCGCGGGAAAAGTTCGAATTAATTAGCGCGAGTAATCAAGGGTTAAACACAACGAATACGGCCGAGTTAATTGATAAAAAAACAGTCAATTGAATTTCAGAATAGTTACTTGTATTTTAGAAAGCATTAATTATTGTATTCCAATGTATCAATTGTGTTTCAAAAAGCATCAATTGTGTTCCAGAATAGTCACTCGTATTTCAGAACACAACAATTGTATTTCAGGTTTGACAATTGAATTTTAGAAAGCATCAATTGTATTTCAGAATAGTGATTTGTATTTTAGGAGAGTCACTTGTAAGAACATAATTGTATTTCAAAAATTTCAAAATAACCAATCGAATTCCAGAAAGCATCAACTGTATTTCAGAATAGCCACTTGTCTTTCAGAAAGATCCAATTGATTTCAGGAAGCATCAATTTTATTTCAGAATAGTCATTACAATTCATGGATATAGTATAACAACATAAAAATGGGAGACAAATAAATCTACAGACTATTCTTTGATGACTTCAAATTGAGATTAATCAAGACTGATCATTTTCTCATTGTGAATAAACACATCCAAATCTGAGCTTAATAATTCAGAATCAATTAAACAAATACAAAGTCAGAATTGACACTGAATCAGATTAAAAGAAGTCAGTTTGGGTCACAATTTTTACATTTGTTGCCGTCAAGTTGTTCATTTCCAGACTGAATGTATTTATTCCAATTTTGAATGTGTTCAACAACTCGAATGTGCTCTCGCAATTTGTAAATGATGAGACTCGATTTGAAATTGATAGAGTAGGTACATACCTATAGTTTCAAAAGACAGACAACATGCTATGGTACGATCTTGTGTACATTTCCAAACATCAGATATATTTACCATTTTGGTAAAGTTTCGAACCGATTTGAATATATTCTTTACTTCATCAATCTCTCGACTATATACTATATTTTTTGTATGTAGTTTGCAGGAAGCACTGATGATGACGAAAATAGAAAGCGCTTTGCAAATGAAGATTTATACACGAAAAATACAAATTATGTTCTTGTCTCCTATTGATTTCAACATCACGTCTAGCCTCATCATATTTTGATAATTATTATATCGTGTAAGCTAACTTTCTGAAATCGGCCAAGTATTCACATAAATGAATCAGGTTGGCCCATGACGATTAATCTAGATCTGATGGAAAGACACCTGACACCAGTCGGATTCACTTATGCTTAAACTTAGAGAAATTGGATCCGTTAATCAGTTCTGACTGACGCAACCGTCAGCTTCTCCCGAGAGGAACATTATAGCATTATACCTGGGGCCCACACCACCAGTCTGGTCTGACATGATAAAATTTTATTCAATTACTCACAAGGGCAGTCCTAAGGTAAACTAGGGGGGTAATACTGTAGGGCAGAGATTAGTCAACCATTAATCTCTAGCAGTGTTCAACAAACTGAGGCAATCCATCTTACAGTGGAGTGAAGGCAATAGGACAGGGCGAAATTCATACAGTCATGACATTTATTTGATATTTGACAATTACTATTCTATTTTCTGTCGAGGCCTTCGGCATAATTAAGAATAAGACATTTTTTCAATTCATCAATTTGATCTAAATCAAATTTTTCATAATCATGAAGTTAACAGTTCCCTAACATATAGGTGATCCGCGATAATTGCGGTCCCCTTTTCACTTTATCAACCATGTATTAGCGAAAATGTTTTCAATTTTTTGTTAAGTATGTGAACATAATGTTTTCCTCCAGAACAGGTCCTCAATTTTTTTCGAGAAACGAACTGTTTTTGAGATAAATAAGCATATACGTTCAAAAACATGTTAATTTTGCTTATGTTTCGCTTAAATTGTATTCTTTGACAAAATTCGTTGAAAATGCAACAAAATGTTCTAAGATTGCAATGTTCTTACGCACGTTACTGATCCAGATTGGACTCGTGATTTCAATTTTAGTGAGTACATTTCATTGCATTTTCAACGAATTTTGTCAAAGAATAAAATATTTTAGCGATAGTATAAGTTCTTTCGAGTTCTTTCTGGGTGATATTTTGCGTGTAACTTCGCAATATTCCATTTTAGAGTAAAACAATTAAGATAACGACGAGAATAACGATTCATGAAAAACGAAACTTGCCGTCGTTTGGCATTATTGGAATGAGTTTCATTTTTTATGGCTGGAAATTCCAATACCTATATCATTAAATGGCCTATCAAAATTTATTACCAATTTCAATCGGTCACACAAAAATTGCTTATTATTTCGAAAAACGCTTTTTCTGTGAAAATGATATCCAGTTATCAGAAAGAAGTTATATACGGGTAAAGTTGCATCAAGACTATACAGGGTGTCCCAATATCGAGCCTCATCATTGGGATTTCTGAAAGTAGAAAAGATACAAAATCGGTTGAATGGAAGCTTTTTTTTCATGTTCTGGTTCCCACGAAAGGGAATATCCTGTATTGTTCGGAGAACATCGTGAGAACAAAGGGAAATAAGGTATAGGAATTGGTGTTCTTCTTGAATTTCTGGAGGTTATATGCCTTGGGGAACACCTTCCTTGGCAATGTGTTCCAGAGCCCGCTGTTCGTTGGATGAACGAGTCTTTGGAAAGAGATGTTCTGCAGGTCTCCAAAGTGACCACGAAGGGGTGCGAAGCCTCAACTCGACGGGTTAATCTCGCGGGGACTGCCAAGGAAGGAACAATTGTTGATATTTCGGAAGAGCATCGTCCATGAAAATATCTATAAAATAGAGCCAGATCGCCAACTTTTTTACGGTGTTCCAGAGAAGTGAGTGAGTTTGTGAGCGAGGCATCACCAACAAGACGAATTGCCCTTTTTTGGACAGAATCCAACAGTTTCAGGGTATGTTTGGGTGCTGCACTCCAGATATGGAAACAGTATTCCAGGACAGGTCGGATCTGTGCCTTATAGATCATAAGCAGCTGACTGGAAGTGAAATATAGCTCCTGGTCCAAAACAGAAAACCAAGTTTTTGGGATGCACTTTTAGCAATTGATCTCACGTGATTTTCCCAACAAAAGTTATTGCTGATAGTAATACCAAGCATCGAAATGGATGTCTTCAAAGGTATGGTTACTCCTGACAAGCTTATGTTGGGCACAGTGAGATCGGCTTTTCTAGGGAAAAGGCATGCTTGTGTTTTATTTGCATTGAAATCTACCAAGTTATATTGGATTCCCATTCGAGAATTGTTGCCAAGTCCATATTTATGTTGTCAACATTTCTCCCTAGTTCGTTTCTGATTTGCCTGGCTGGTATTGGAGCCCTGGAAAAGAAGGCGATAGCTGCGAAGCTGTGTACTGGACATGAAGTTGCTTCCAACAAATCGTTGATATGTAGTAGAAATAGTGTTGGTGCTAGAATTGATCCTTTGCTGTGAGGAGTATAGCTTCGAATATAACTTATATAGTGATCAACAGTGGTCGACGGAGTTTCATCTGTTCATTGTCGATCTAAATGAAAACCTAGTAGGCGACCTAGTGCGAGGAGGTATCCTGCCTACTAACTACCTAACTAGGTTGTCATCTACATAGAACGACAATGGTGTAATTCTCGGAGTGACAGATAGAGCGTTACTGTCATTTTCGATTCATTGGAATAGCGATGAAAAACTTCCAGCTACAGATGCGATACAGATCAGTTATTGATTGCTAACGAAGTCTGAAGAAAGGTATGAGAAGCATTACACAGGATTTATCGAATGGTGCAATAGTAAGAAAGTGAAAACACCAAATGAAGAAGAAGTATTTTTGGCTCATTTCCTAGAAATGTCTGAAACCTAGAGGCCAAACACCATGGGCATGCTGGCTTCCGCAAGAAGCTTATCTACATAATGCTTCAAACGGTACACACAATAGATATATACCCGAGTATATACCAATTATTAGAATACATCACTATTGTTAGTTGTTCCTAATATTTGCAGGAATAATTGATTGAACAAATCCATCAATTTTCTACGCTTGTAGTTCCTAACTCATTGAGAAAAAATATTTCTCACAGTATGAGCAATACATGGTTTTGAAACTAAGTAAGCTATGAGAAATGCGCTACTTTTCATAGCAGTAGTAGAAAAATTACTATTACGTAGAATGGGGAAGTTTGCTTCAGAAGAATTGTCATCAATTAGTCTTACACTGATTAGCGCTATGTTTTTGCGATCTAGATCTAGAATACCCGTTGAAAAGATTCAAATAACTCATATTTTAGAACACCAAATGATGGCGAAATCGAATAGAATCTAGTTTGGAAATAGGATTAACTTCTGCTGTTCATAATCAAATATACCCAAACCTCGACCCGAACAAAGTATTCAATTCTCGAGGCAATTCTGGATATTATCGAAATAATATATGCCCCTGTTCCATCATTTTACCAGGCATTTATACTTATACAATATTTATATGATATTTTTGGAATAATTTGGTTCATACGTTTCGACCGAGTTTTCGACTTATCAGGAAATCGGGATTTCAAAAAATATGATTTTACCTCTCCAGCAGAGATTATATACCCTTTAGTGTAGTTCTTGACTCTATGTAAGAACGAATGGCACCCTATGATGGTGTTGAAAATCTCAATGTTAATTCTCACTATAACAATC